GTTTGCCGGGCAGCCTCCGGACCCTGCGCCCCCGGCTGGGCGCTTCCCCTCCCGGGCTCCAGCTGTACTGGGTAAGCGCCGGCCGGGGGTGCAGGGTCTGGAGGCTGCCCAGCAAACCATGAAGCCGGTAGCGCTCGGGCAGCCCTTTTCGCATGGCTGGGAGGGAGAGTTAGGGCGGGGACTTTGGGGAAGGGGCGGAGCTGGGGCGGGGCCGGGGGTGGGAAAGGGGCGGGGCCAGGGCCCGTGGAGTGTCCTTTTTAAAAATTTTTTAAATATGGTAACCCTACCAGTGACAGTAGCTTTTAGTAATGGCTGAGCCCTCTCCCTTTTCCCAGCAGCTGTTGGGGTGGGGTAGCTTCTCCACAGGACACTGCATTTGGACATCGAGGCCCCCCTCATCTTGTAAGATCAGTCTCTGGGTAGGAGGTTTATCCCTCCACTTATTACATATCTTGTAAAATTTCCAAGCCCTTTGAAGAAGTGGATGGGAAGAAGAGATGCAGCTGATTAGACACAAAGAACAGTGTCCTGAATTTGAAAGAGATTTTGGGGGACGTATAAGCAGAGAGAGAAAAGTTGAGGGGAAGGAGATAGAAAACAATGCTGAGAAAGGAAGAAAGGAAACTAGACATTAGGGCAGTTCAGACAAGGCAAGTGTGAACAGCAGCGCGCACCAAAGTGACGCTCTGTAACATCCCCGTGTGGATGCGAACTAAAAGGTGCCTAGTTTGCTTAACGTAGTCCTCTTTAACTCCCCACAGCTCCACACAGGCGAGTTATAGCGCAGCACTTTGGTGCGTACTGCTCTTCATGCGCCCGTAGGTCAAAGTGCAGAGCAGTGTAGCCATACATAGACAACACAAGGACAAACGCACCATGATCTAGGAGAAAAAAGAAAAGTAGTCAGTGAAGCCACGAAGGAAAAGGTCTAGTAAAAGTAGGAGCCTGCTAGTAAGTTTTATTCTTAAAAATTCATTAAAGAGAGCTGATTCACAATATGCTACAAATAAAAACAGGACACAAAGGACAGTATACAACTACTTTATTCTTTTAAGTTGTAGGAACATGACAGAACTATTTTCCAACCTGGCTAGTACCACTAGTCATCAGGCTAGTAGGTGTCAGGTACATGTTTCAAGCTGTGTGATATATATGGATTTAGATATTTCCTCTCAAATCAAATGAAATGAGTTGTGAAGCGGAGATGTGATAGCATCCTTGGAGAGCAGTCATATGGATTTGTTATTGAAAGTTTAGGCTTGGCTATGTTTAAATGCTGCAGTTTTCAGTATATTCAGTACTGTACAACACCACAAGAATACTTTATGGATCTAAAGCACCCACACACTTCCTGTTGTGACATGGGGTGTGGCTAAGTACCCAAAGGGTGGCCTGTCACCTCCACAGAGAGGAAACACTTTCAAGTCAGAGACTGATACAGAATACTGGATAGGGAAAGACAACCACACAGAAGGACAGCACCACCCAGGTCAAGGACCAAAAGGCCAGTGCCCAAGCGGCTACTCATTGCTGACCCAAGCAACAGCATGACTTGGCAGTTTCACACTGCTGCTTGGTTGGGAAAGCTGTAAGCAGAAGCACTGGAGTGATTTCTCTGCAGACTCAGGCAGACAACACTATCAGTTGAAGGGTTATCTTCACAACCACAATTAACAACTTTTTCAAATGAAAACTGAGATTCTTTAGAAATTGATGACTTAGGGCTGGTCTACACTGCCGCGCTAGTTCGGCGGCTGGGGATCGAAGTTCCGAGTTCGATTTATCGCGTCTGGTCTGGACGCGATAAATCGAACCAGGAAGTGATCCCCGTCGACTGCGGTACTCCAGCTCAACGAGAGGAGTACCGCGGAGTCGACGGGGAGCCTGCCTGCCGCGTGTGGACCGCGTCTGAACCGCGGTAAGTTCGAAGTAAGGTATGTTGAATTCAGCTACGTTATTCACGTAGCTGAATTTGCGTACCTTACTTCGACTTGGGGGGTAAATGTAGACCAGGCCTTAGTCCCTTTCACAAGAACTTCCCACTTGACAACTGTATTTTTTCGAAGCCCTGGAAGAGGACACATGACTGGGATAATTCTGAAATCATGTTTCCAAGTTAACAATAGAAGTCT